AGGCACATAAACAACTTGCAAGTCTCCCCCGTCGGAGTTGGACTTATGGGATACATGGGAAACAAGGTACTGCTTCTTCTTTCAAGAACTTCATTGAATCAAGCATCAGCATTCACTAGTTGTAGAAAGTGAAATATTGGAGTCAAAAAGGACATATGAACTTTTGAGGGCTTTATACCCGTGTTGCTCGGATTCTCCAAATATGCTGCCAAACCCGTGTCTGATCATTGAAATATACACTATTTTTTGAGGATCCGACACACACACACCCAGAGGCACTTTTGAGGAGTTGGAGAAACATAGCTTTATTCCCCCTTATTTCCTATCTTCTAATCAAAATGGTTATTTGGAAGATCACTTTCTGAGTAATCATATTTAGCTAGTATTTTGAGTGCTATTCCCTAGTAGATTCTCTTAGTTCACAACCATATACCCGGTAGCGGAGCTACATGTAATGAAGGGGTTCAATTGAATCCCATTCGGAAAATTATACTGTGTATAATCTGTTGAATGAAGGGGTGCCTTAGAGAAATGGTAAAGTTGTCTCTGTATGACCTATAGGTCACGGGTTCAAGGGGTGGAAGCAACATTGATGCTTGCATCAAGATAGACTGTCTATGTCAAGTTCCATTGGGTTCAGCCCTTCCCTGAAACCTGCGTGAACGCGGGATGCTTCGTGTCTTGCATTTTCTTGAACCTATTGCTTTACATGAAACCTAAAGCTGATACTAATTTATGGTTCTTTACAGGGATCTGTTTCTGTGAGCATGTCTCTTTTCCAGTCAAGGCTATGCTTTGTTTGTTCACATTTAACTTCTGGCCAAAAGGACAGGGCGGATCAAAGGCGTAACGCTGATGTATACGAAATTATGAAGCGCACACATTTCTCATCTGTATTCGACACTGATGCAGATCAACCACAAACAATTCCATCTCATGAGTAAGTAACACTCCATCCATTTCAATCTGTTTGTCTGGTTTTGACTTGACACGGAGTTTAAGGAAGTAATGAAGACTATTGAATCTTGTGGTCGTAACCTAAAGATATGTAGAATGTAACAAAACGCCATTTGATCTTATGGTCTTAAACATGCCATATACATTATCTGGTCCTTTTCACATTATTATTTCTAATGCTATGGATGATTTTCTCAATTATATGGAGTACTAGATTTAGACGTGACGATAACTGCTCAGTGTTTTCTGTTCAACAATAAATAGCAGAAATATATAGCATGTGTTGAAGCTCTAACAAAGAGTTGTATTTTCTAATTTCAAATGAGATGTGCAGTATTTATACACACAATTTATACGCCATCCTTTAATGTAAGCAGTCAGATATTCTGGTTTGGGGATCTGAATTATCGAATCAATATGTTGGATGCTGAGGTGCGGAAGCTAGTTGCCAGAAAACAATGGGATGAACTTCTCAACAACGATGAGGTAAGACTCATCACTAACTCTACGTATCAAACATGATATGGTAATTAGGAAACGGAAGAAATAACCTGCTATAACCGGTTAAAAATTGCCCCAGATGTATAAAAATTCTCTGTGTTGTTCATGTATATAACTTAAGCTCTAATGATATCATCACATGGCAGCTAATCAACGAACTTCGAAATGGCAATGTTTTTGCTGGTTGGAAAGAAGGGGCTATTAACTTTGCACCAACATACAAGTATGAGATCAACACGGATAGATATGTCGGGGAGAGTCCAAGAGAAGGGGAGAAGAAGAGATCACCAGCTTGGTAAGTGACATTTCTCTTAAATGAACAAATTTCAAAATCATGGACTCGAACAAGACATTGTCACGATCACAATATTTCAGCATATTTTGATAGGATTTAACTTACATACACTGCCAGTGTATTTTAACCTGTTATAGCATGTTACCCGTCTTATTTTTCACTGATCCCACTTATTATAGTCGATCATATATTGTACTGACAGTGCATATAAATTAAATTCGTTCTGACAATAGAAGTTGAAATGAGTATTTCCTAATATCGTGCAGGTGTGACCGTATACTGTGGTTAGGGAAAGGTATAAAACAGCTCTTTTACAAGCGAGCCGAGTTAAGACTATCTGATCACAAGCCTGTAAGCTCAATGTTCTCGGTAGAAGTTGAAATATTCGATCACAGAAAGCTCCAGAGAGTCCTCAATGTTAACACCGCCGCTGTACATCCAGGGATCCTGCTAGATATTGAAGAGTAAGACTTAGAAGCTTTTTCAGATAAGTTTTCATCAAGAATGACAAGTAAATGAGTCGGTGATAATCACACGAAATTTTTGGTGTTTTCAGTTAGGAATCAGAAATGAAGCATCATGTACATATGTACTTTAAGACATAGCATGCGAATCCAGGATCTAGAGTCAATCAGTAGATTCAAAATGTTTTATATGACGGACAAGCCTGCAAGGTATTCAAAATCCTGTTATTTTGAAAGGAGATAAGACACGAGACAAAATTCGTGTCTTTCAGAGACTCAACATACATATATATATATATATATAGTTGAGCAATGAATAGTTTGAACCACAGAATCTCATGCTTTAATGTTTTGTTATTAAAAAAATAGAATTTTGAGGGAATTTCCCCTTATTGTAAATTTTGTTCTTCCCAAGTTTTTTGTTGTATGGTTTTGTAAATTATGAAATTAACTCTTGATACACATTTCAAAGTTTGCTTTTAGAGTAGACATCTTTTGTGTTTGTAACAGGTTAACTTAACAGAAGTTATATAGTGTTCTATTCTTTAACTCATGAAATAGAGTTTCTAGTTGTGAAGGGCTTATTGTTATTGTTCAGAGATTTATGTTTACTTGAGCTGAGTATCTATCGGAAACAACCTCTCTATCTTCACAAGGTAGGGGTAAGGCTGTGTACACACCATCCTCTCCAGATCGCACTTGTGGAATTACACCGAGTATATAGTCATTGTAATTCATAGATTTGTTATGTGGAAAGAAACGAAAGATTATTTTATTCAATTTTTAGTTTCAAGCATTCATTTCATTGTTGAATATGTTTTTAAGTCGGGAATCAAATTTTTAGTCTTTATGATATTCAACCAAACATAATTAACCTTCAATTACTTGAAATGTGCACTTTTAATCCTTTTGCTTGTAAATAATCATAATCTTTTTTGAAGTATTAACAGTTCAACCATTTAATTATCCATATATTATGTTAAAATTGTATAGTTACTGCATATTTGAGTATAATTTACTTCTAAAAAAAAGTCTAAATACAACACATTTCCAATATTGAAGGACCAAAATCAAATATTTTAATTAGTTGAAAATTAAATATGTTAAATTATGTTTTATAGGGACCAAAATTTGAATTTACCCAAAAGTGAGCAACCAAGAGTGTTATTATCCTAAACTTTCTTATATATTACTCCTATATAAAGATAAACACAAGAAATTAATTTCCCGCAAAATATTTTCACGATAAATCTCCCTACTGGAACGTACGTTTTCAGATCTGAGGCGTCGGATCGCCTTTCGTCGGCAAAAAACGCCGGCAATTTGTTATTTTCCGATTCTATGTCGCCGGAAACGAGTGTTTCCGAATCAAATCATGGATGTTAAATTCCTTCGAGCAAATCGATGAACCTGTAAAATCTGTAAGTCGTTCTATTATCAACTACTATCGTCTTTTCATTTGATTTGTACATTTTCGTTTATTGAGAGTCAATTTGATTAACTGTTGAGCGAAGAGGAACATAGAAAAGTTTCATATTTTTCAGAAATTGAAGTACTATAAGTTGCATTTCTCGATATTAATATTGTGAGTGAAATGCATTTTTGAAAAAATTGGTTACAGTTTCCCTAATTTGAACCTGTAACATATGTAAGTCGTTCTATTAGCAGCTACTATCGTCTTCTCATTTGATTGCTAATTTTTTTGTTTATTGATAGTCAATTTGATTAACTGTTGAGCGGAGCGGAACTTAGATAGGTTTCATAGTTTTTCAAAAATTGAAGTAATATTAGATGCATTTCTCGATATTAATATGGTGAGTAAAATGCATTTATCAAAATTTTGATTAAACTTTCCCTAATTTGAAACCGGAAATCGGAAAGAGGTAAGCATTTTGGTCAAAGGAATGTTTGATGCTTAGTGTTCATATCATTTTCGGTTTATTTGAAGTCATTTGATTAACTATTGAGCGAAGCAGAACATAGATACATTTCATACTTCCAAAATTATGGTGAGGAGAATGCATTTTCAAAAATTTGGTTAAACTTTCCTCTAATTTGAATCACAGAAATCAAAAAGAGCTAAGCATTTTAAGACAAAGGAATGTTTATTTGATTGGATTTGGTTTATTGAAAGTCAATTTGATTAACTGTTGAGCGAAGAGGAACAGAGATTCATTTCATATTTTCATAAATTAAAGTAGTAAAAGTTGCATTTCTCCATATCAATTTGGTGAATAAAATGCATTTTAAAAATCTACTCACCATATACAAGTTTATAAGGTCCAAAGTTTATTTGTGCCGTAACCGTTTATTTAAGTAGAAATCATGATGTGTAGTTCACATCTAGGCTATAGTTTATAATTCTTTCTTACATGCAGTTGTTTTTAAGCTCAACTTAATCTTTCTGTGATGAAATGCAGAAGTTCCTTAAGTGTGGTTTATTATCTTTTGAAGTTACCTGTGAATGAAAGATAGCAGTTAGATATCTTTGTGTTGCATTTTCAATTCAGATTTCACCATGTCTAGTCATCATCATCTCAGTTCCTTCTGGATTTTCTAGGTTTACACCTATGAAACAGGTATCAGTATCGCGGATAAAACAAAACAATGGAATTTTTATTTTTTTATTTTTTTAGTTTCTAGTGTTGTGTTTCTTTTCTCGGAATTTGCATTCTTTTTGATGACCTGAATCCCTCTTTGGACAGTCATATTTTACAACTAGTAAATATGAACTTATGTTCTTCGTGGGACTATTTTGTGAGGAAAACACTTCGAGCACTGAATTGCTTATGCAATTAATGAGATCTTTTAATACATGGAATATTTATGAGTACAGCAGTACTTTTCAAAAGTTTCCTGGATACAGGATAAACCAATCCAATTTACATATCAATCCAAAATGCTTGTCAATTTTTAGAACTAATATGACAACCAACAAATGCAGCAACAATGAGAAACGATGGACCTAGAAAATTAAGAGTAGTCCAGCCCCTGGAGAATTCCGCAGAGCTGGGCATTTTGAATTGATTGAGTTGGATCACTGGAGTGGGAGGAAATCCAATTACCAATCATAAACTCTACACAAAACGTTGTTGTGGTGGTGACTGCGCGTCTTCCTCTTATTCATATGGTTTTGGCAAAACATGCCTAAGGTATGGTCCATATCAGGTATGTTAGACTTCACACGTGTCCTCTTCCTCGTGTTCCTGAATCTTTTCACTATGCTTGATATTTTTGTACCACTTAGCACATGCAATGTATGCAACCAAATCTAGAAGTGTCAAACCAGCTAATAGAAAATAGAATCTGTCTAAATGACCTTTGTTAAGGTTTCCCGGTATCCATCCAGGCATGTTATCAGTTGCTGATATTTTCATCACTATGCTCACGAGAAAGCTACTCACGTAGTTCCCTAATGATATTGATGTCATGCATAGTGCACTTCCAAAGCTTTTAAGTCCATCAGGTGCTTGCGCATTGAAGAATTCTAGTTGAGCTACATACATGAATACTTCTGAAGCTCCTATGAAAGCATATTGTGGGACTTGCCAGAAGATGTTAAGAGAGCTTGAACCTTCACAGTGTTTGCAGTCATTACTAGCATACTTAAGCCTGTAGCACTCCACAATTCCTGATGAAAGCATAGCCATCACTGCTATGACTAGTCCAATACCCATCCGCTGTAGTTCAGTTAGCCCGGCATCATCATCCTTGCACTTCTTGAACCTTTTGACTAGCGGATTAAGAACTCTGCGATTAAGAAATATGACACCTGCTACACTAAGGATGTCAAAGGTAGACATGCTTGCTGCTGGAATCCTAAAGTTTGCTATTGTAGTTTTCATGGCATCACCTTGCTCGACAAAGAGCGAGGCCATTTGCGTGAAAACTACAGAGTAGATAATGGTACATAGCCAAATTGGCAGCAACCTCAAAATGCATTTAACTTCCTCAACTTGTGATATAGGGCAGAGACGCCACGGGTTGTGATCACCCTGCTTCTGGCTCTCAAGTTCCTTTGATGTCACCACAGCTGCTCTGTCCAAGAATCTGCCAGTAGAAAAATCCAGTTTAGTGCATTATAGAATGGTAACTAGATGTCTGCGACTTAAGCTCAATGTGACTACGACTTTGTCAATGGTTTAAATGACAAAGTTGAGTATATGGTGCATTTCTACTTACTTGAAACCATGGGTGTGTAGCATTTTTCTACCACCAGTTGTGTCATCGTCGTCTTCCCCTTGGTAGAAGTCGTCTTCATTTTCCGGCGCCTCCACTTTACCTTTCTTTGTTGCTGCAACTAAAACTTGACCAAACCTGGAAAGAGGATTTCCACTAGACTTGAAGTGTCTGTACCTAGCAGTGCCTCCAAGAAAGAGAATCAATGCTGCAAATGCAGACGCTGCAGACGCCCAAAATCCAAGAGCCCACATTCCCTCATCTTCAAAGTAGTCTAGAATGGTGTTAGAGAAGAGTGATCCAAGGTTCATGAACAGATAGAAGTAGCTGAAGAAGGCTACTTTAGATGAACATTCCCCCGGATGCTGCTCGTCGAACTGATCAGCCCCAAAGGTAGCAATATTTGGCTGATAACCACCATATCCTAGGGCAATCATGTACACTGAGACATAGAATAGACCAACCTCCATGGTTGAATGTTCTCCACATAGAGTTGTTCGATTCCCACAACCTTTAGGTTTGAGCAAGTAAAGTTGTGATGCTAGTGCTAGTAATGACAATCCCTGTCAATCAAGTTTCAAACTTAGTAAGAGCAAGATTAAGGACTCTTGTTAATCAACACTAAATAGCCGAAAAAACATTAGGTGATTACTTCTCATTTGCCTACTCTTAGCGGGCAAAATTCCCTAAGTACCTTGCTTGTGGAAGGTAGAAGGTACTTAGTGGGATATTCAAGGTGTGCATAAGTCAGCTCGAACATCACTGTTGTGAGAAAAAATAGGAATAGCATTTGTGCAAAGTTTATGTGCTAGTGTGTTTAAAGTTGTTTTTCAATATCTAGTACTAGAGGAGTGGCAAGTTGTTTGAAAATAATGCCGTCTTAGGTTCAAATCTCAATGAAGGCAAAATTACTAGGTGATTTCTTCCTATCGTCCAAGCCTTGGTGGATAGTGTTATCAGGTATATCATGATTATAAAAAAAAAGAGTTTTTCAATATCTAGATAAATATGTTGGGAGGTAGTGGATACTTACAGTTACATAGATGACTTGGAAAATGGCACAAGTTTTGAATCTTCCCCAATAAGAGTCACTAAGGAAAGCACCAACAAGGGAGCAAATATAGACTGTGCCAGTCCATTTGCTCACACTATTAGCAGCATCAGCATTGTTTTCTTTCAGCACCCTTGTGAGGAACAACACCATATTCACTCCAACTCCAAAAAATGCCAGAGTTGCTAAAGCTTGATTCACTACATAATCAATATGGAAACCAGATGTCAATTAAAGAAGAAGATACCCCGTCCCAAAATAAGTATTACTTTACCTAAAATTCATGTCAATTAAGAAATTAATAAATACAATATTACAGTTTACAAAACTACCCCTCATTAATAAATACAATATTACAGTTTACAAAACTACCCCTCATTAATAAATTTCTCTTGAAAATTGAACACTATTAAGAAAATAATAGTATAAAGATATAGTTGGAAAGACATACAAATTTTTCTAGATCCTTTATTAGCAAGGATAAAAATAATGGAAAAAATTAACACCTTAGTTATTGAATTAATGATTGGAAAGATATAAAAATTTAATATAAATAAATATTTATCCTATATGTAGTTATTATAAGGAAGCAGCAACCTAATTCCGTCATTATCAGTATCATATATCGACAAATGTTCTTAATAAATATATATTGTCTGTATATGAAAAGGCAAAAAGTCCAGGATAAGTGATAGTCCAGATCACATAATAAAGTGACCCACCCACCCAACAAGACCAAGAATATAGTTTTGTCATCAAGGATGACGTTTCTAACCCCACCACATCTCCTCTTCGGACCTTTTTGATCATAAGAATTTTTTTATATTTTTTTCAAAATTATCGCTTTATTTAAAAATCAATTTTTGATCATAAAATTTCAAATACATTTTGAAGTTCTTAGGTATTTTAAAATTATATTTCAATTTTTTTTATAAAAGTACATTTAATTTAAATATTTATAATCAATCACAATTTTAAATTTAACTCTAATATTTAAAAAAAATTTAAATGATTTTTTCTGTTATTTTCATGGCCTAACATTTCTTAAGTATGTGTCAATGATGTCATTTCCCAATAGTGCATGCTTTTCTTGTCACTTCACTATCCCATTTTTTGCCTTCCACAAGAATTATACTTCACAAATCCCTATTGAAAACTATGAGAATCTATTTTTTCCCATTTGGGTGATAGCGCATGGTTCGAAATTCAGATGAATAATAAGTATATTTATTTATTTATTTATATATTAAACTGCAGAGTTTGAATATATGGCGTGTGCTTACTCTACCTATCACAAGTTATCTTACTTGCATATGGATAAAACCCTATGCACCTTTTTTTTTCCGTATAACCAACAGATTAGATTCTTTAGTGTTATTAATTTGTTGTTCAAAACATAGGTATATAATAACTTTTTTTTTTAGTTTTCCAATATCAAATTGTTATCTACTATAAATTTGAACTCATGTTCATGCCTAATCCACGTATCACGTGTTATCCTCTCACATGCAAATAAAACACTAGGGGCTAAAAAAATGTACCATCTAATAGGCCAAGTAAATTTGACACACGTCTTAGTTTTATTGCAAAGTGTTAGGCTTTTGGTCTTTTCATACTCGTCATTTTCTAGCTTCCAGACATATGATAGCTGGCTTCAGTTACTCTAGAATTTTCATGATTTATTTTCTCTTTTTTTCCACCCCACAGAAAATATATATATAATTACAAAAAAAGAAGAAGATCGGAATAATAATAAGCAGATAATTGCATATTAGTTAGTATTCGTAAATAATAAAAATCTGTTCTAACTCTATTTCGAAAAGTTGGTTTAAGTGGTAAAAATTGCGCAAAATCCTATAAACAGCTATAACTTATGTGAGATTTTAACATGCCCTATATCTTTTAGATTGCACACTTAGTGCGTGAACTAATATAACATGAACAATCAAAGTCTGGACCAAGTTTATAAATTGCATCTTAAACTCAAAATAGCAAAAGATTATTTAAAACAAATAAACTTAATTAGTTGTTGTGGATGCTGATAGTATATACCATGTATATACATGATATAATAATTTTTAATGTTGATATATATAACTCAAAAGAAAGATAAGTAGATGCAGATATCACTACTACTTTATGTCCTTTTCTTCCTTTTTATTCTTTTAAAAAATGAATATTTTTTAGTAATATGATTAATATATTTTTTAAAAGAAAAGCTTACACAGTATCATAAATCCAGCCACCCATTTCCCACTTGTTTCTCTAATTGCTGCATTTCCTTTCAAATCAACACTTCCATCCTTGGTGCACTCTACATCTTCCTCTTTCAGCTTCACCTGATTTCATAAATAAAAAAAAGTTAGTGTAAAAAATAACTTTTACTATATATTCTAAGGACATCAAAAAGATTATTATAAATAATTATTAATAAGTTATTACTAACTTGAAAAATAAAAGCAGATTGCCTATAGCATAGTGTGCAATGTGAATTCTTTATCCGTGTATACAAGTTAAATTTATTGTTCATATGTACAATTCTTTGCATGAGAAAACATTTCCTTGATAAAATTGATATATTGCACATCATATATGTAACCTTTTGTCTTAAAGAATCAAAGTTTGGTAAATGATAGACACTACAACTAGGGAAAAAAGTTCATAGCTACGACCTTAGTTGGTAAATCGTTCGTAGCTAACATATTCTTGATAATCTATCGTTAATCCATTGTAGGATTATCAACTAATTTGTTTCTTTAGCTACAAAATTTATCGATCACTAATTTCTATTTTTTTTCTTAGTGACTTTGTAATCTTTATGAAGATGTTCAAGGGAGAAAATGAAGAGAGATAACCTAGATGTTGAATATTACTAACCTCTTTGGAGAGTTCCAAGCAAGCCATTGACATAATGACCCAAAGGTTTTGCTTAATTAATTAAAAGATTTAGTACTAAGTGAGTTTTCTCAATGGTGGAAGATGAGAGAAGAAACCAAGAAAGAAAAGATTTTGTGAGTAAATTGCAAGTGAATGAAACTATATATAGAAGTTAGTGAGAGTTAAGTGGACGGTAGAGGCAAAATGATTTTTAAATTAGGAAGAAAAAAGAAGAAGAAAAAATTAATAGGTACAAGATCATTTTGGTTTAATTAAGTTGATATTTTTGGACGTAAGCAAATGGGATATGAGAGGGTAGCTACTTTTTGTTTGTTATCTAACACATCAAACAAATTACCTAATAGTGGGGTCACCAATCTACTCCTCTCGTGTTCAAGTTTTGAATAATATTGTCTTTAATAAAGAGCGTTCTACCTTAAAATAAGACTTTTCAACACGATTTCAAATTAATCAAACTCCAAAACAAGTATTGAACATTAGATGAAAAACCTAATATATTGGATCACCACCAAAGATTGTGTTGAAATAATCGTGCTCGTCGATTTGATTTCAAGCTTTGATTATGGAGCACTTTTGATAGGAAGTGCTTTAGTAGGACTTTTTGGCGTGAAATTAAATTAATCGAACTCTAAATTATTAAACATCAGAGGAATTTTTTTTAAAAGACTAATGTTGAGGGGTCCCATATATTTGAATGTCATTTGGTGTTCTTTCAATTGGTTGAATTGACACATCAAACACTTTAGTGTGAAGCTCTGTTGAATGATTTTGGAGGCCTGTGATACAAAGTTGGACAGAGATTTTGATTTTGACACTTTTATTAACCTTATTTGCTTTACCTAAATTATTATTTTTTATTTCCTTTTATATCTTCCCAAAATTACTTACTATGTATTCTTAGTTTTATCAAATGTTTAGTCATTACTTTATGTTTAAGATGATAAGCATATAGTAATTGATTATCAAGATTCAAGAGTGCATCTCAATTATATTAAATATGGTGAGTATTTGTTTCTTCATCAAAGGAGTGTCGCAACTTTTTATAGCTAAAAAAAAGGTTCTATGGTGTTTAAAGAATTTACATAATCATGTCATTTTTTTTCTTGATAAGAGAATCAATAGTCGTTACCTTTGAGTGTGCACTGGGTAAACTATTTTTGTGCAATAACTCGTATCGCACAAGGCAAGCTCCGTGCGATGAGCTCAACCTAGAACACCAACCCCAGACAAGCTCCATGCGACGAGATCAACCTGAAAGGCTGACTCCTTGCTTGCATTTTGCAAGTAAGGAATTTCAAACTTGAGACCTCTATTAAGGAAGTCTCAAGCCAAACTATCTAAGCCACCCGAAGGGACTATAATCATATCTTTTATAAAGTAATAGTTACAAATAATTTTTTTATATAAAAATTAATTAGTAACCTGATAAAACTAACTAAGCTGCTGTCATAAGTTAAACTATATTTCCATTGTAAAAGAACTAGTCACAATATTAGTGCATATAATAACTTAACCCGAGTATTTCCTTACCTAAATCATAAATGTATTGATTAATTATGCCAAAGCTATTGATGCCTCAACTTGATTTTGTTTTTAATTAATATATTTGATATTCACTGACTCAACGAATTTAAATTCACATTCCATTTATAGAACTTGTCAAAGAGGAAAATGTTTACTAAAAAAAATAACAATTATATTCTTAGAACTCGAATTCGAACTTGAACTCAAACTCAAACTCAAGAATCTGTCATCCATTCTAGTACGGTGAACCACGCATTCTTGAAGTGAAGATTTCTGACATATCCCTATATATTTTTAGGCAAATAGTAAGTAGTACCTTCTACAAGTTTATATCTTTGAGTTGTCAAAATATCTTCCCACAAATTTCAATAAGCCAAAAATAGTTCCCTCCACTCAGTTTAAGTCAAATAACAATATGAGTTATTAGTACTATTGTTTTAGCCACACAAATATATGGCTATTTGAACTTGAATATCTAGGAAAAATAAGAACATTTGATGCATGCAAGGAGAATCTTTTAAAACACTCGTAAAAAAGTCTTATATCTTGAAATTAATCTATTAAGTTGATGATAAAATCAATAGCCATTTCAATAGTGTTCAGACTAGATTATGCATGCCTCGACTACTCTATTAGGTATTTGCTACATACTACCCACTAGTAGAGATAGTAACTAGCAAGTAAAGATACCCTACATTAGACGGATAGAAAAAAAAACCACCTTAATATTTTAAATTTTGTTGGTTTTAATTATAGTACCTATTAGCATCCTTTTTCACTAGATAATGACATAACAATAACAATGAACTTCCCATAAAGATATCCATCAAGTATTCATAAATTTACTAAGTTCCATAATTATCAATTTTTTGATTATATAAGTTAGTTCACCCTTTCCTTAATATATTGACCATGTGTGGATTATGATAGAAAATTTTGTGGCAAATTAATTTTCTTATTTATTGTTTCCCCAACATATGCACTATACAGAGAGACAAAAAACAAGATATGGTGGAAAAGTTAGGTAGTAGTAATTCAGAAGAAAAAGAAATGTTTAAATTAGGATTATTTTTTTTAGCAAAAGTACAGTGATAATTTGACTTTTAACAGCTGGACCCTATATTCGTTGTGTCAAACATTCCAAACCTATTTGGATGGTTGGAAATATTGCAATATTTTTTGTATTTTTAATTTTTCGATCATAGAAAACAATCTTCACCGACACAAGAATCTCCTCACATAAACCTTCACTACAATAAAAACCAATAGTGAATTTATGAAGGCTTCCATCATAGTGCGGAATAGACTAATCATCAGACTACTTTGAAGTAGATCAATAGTTGAAATTTAAATTCTGAAACACAATATTATAAAATTATGTTATTTAAAAGATAGTTATAAATAACTCTATGTCATATAACAATATTGATTGATAACCTATTTAAAAGATAATTATAAATAACACTTTCTATCATATAACAATATTGATTTATAAACTAAAATAAAATACTCCATATATGATAGTTGTATAAATTACTCTATGTCATATAACAATATTGATTGATAGCCTAAAATAAATACTCCATATATCAATATATATGTGTGTTCTATATGTGGCTTTTCCAGTCTCGAATGGTTACTAAGAAATAAGTTTAATTAAACAGAGTTGTGGAAAAGCTGTCATTAAACTTTTGCTCTAACAAGTGGAGATAAGTTAAATAATAAGTTAGTATAATATATAGTTTAGTAAAAGGTGAACGAGAGATATATGAGAAGCAAATCTTCTAAGTATGTCAGGCAAATAATCAAATTTGTGTGCTTTGTGAAAAGCACTTTCCTTCTGTTAGACTGATAAGATCATGCCACGATCGAATTTAAGTTCTCTGCATTGATATAAATATCTATTTATAGGGAAAATTATGCATTATATCAAATTATTAATTCAAAATAAATGTTATAGCTATAATTTCATTTAATTTCAATTCGCAGCAAACACATTGTCATTCGCCTCTCTCCTGAATCTCGCTCGCCACTCTCAATTCTCTCTCCCGCCTCTCTCACTTTATACAAACACAAATATATAAATTGTGTTTGTGTTTGTATAAAGCAGGATATATACATATATATATATATATGTCTCCGTCCTATTCACTTATAATTATATTAATACAAATTTTCTCCTTCCCAGTTCTCTTTTGCCCCTCTCTCTCGCATTAAACAAACATAAATCATACAAATGCAATGTATAATTTGTGTTTGTATAAAACGAGAGAGATATTTGATATACAAATACAAATGTTTTAACTCGATTCAATTGTATACAAATTTCAAATTTTATGTAGATATACAAACACAATCATTGATACATATGCATAGTAGTTACATATATATAATTATCTAACTGATATACATATACAATTCACCTCTTCCCTCTCTCTCCTAATCTCTGTAACGACCCATTTGGTCGTTTTGAGTACTAGAGCTTTTTATTTCATAAATTACTTTTCGATAGATTTTAAATGAGTATTTTGGACTATTCGTAACTACAATAATGAATTCAGTGGGGTGATTTTAATAACTAATTTAGTTGGTGGTTAAAGAAAATAACATTAAAATTAGTAGGGGGTCACTTTTGCCACTTTTATAATTAATCTTTTAATAATTAGGGTAATAAAAAAAAATCAGGCAAGGAAATACTCCCTCCGTCCCTATTTAGTTGTCCACTTTAGAAATGACACACAGATTAAGGCAACAATGATTAGCATAGTGAAGTTACAATTTTACCCTTATAGTACAATTTACATTTCCAAAATAAATTAACTCAAGATAAATAATCAATGCTGGAAAGTTCATAAGTTTATTTACTTTATTTATGACAACTTTATTTAAATAAGGGTATAATAGGAAAAAAATTGTTGTTCTTTCTTGATTTGTCAAAATGGACAACTAAATAGGGACAACTAAAAGAGGAAATATGGACAACTAAATAAGGACGGAGGGAGTAATACTTGCGGCGCATCTACCTGGGAAGAACGACATCCAGGTAATTTTCATGTCCTTCATTAATAGTAGGGTGATTATTATTACTATTATATAATTAAGGTTGGTTGGAATTGAGTGTAGATAGTGGCGTTGGGTTGGAGACAAGATTTACTCCCAGTAATCTGTTAATTTCCTTATTTTAAGAAGGACAAGTATGAGTGGAAATTCATGGCATAATGTGCTGATGGGTATAATATATATATATGAATATGGAATGAGTTTAGTTTCTGGTATCATATATGTTGGGGTGAGAGAATTAAATTATGGGTGTTAGGCGTGTGTTTACTGCCGTTGCAACCTATTGCGGTGGTTCAATTCAGTCGAATTCATGATTTAATTTAGGACCTAATTAATCTCTAAATTAAATATTATTGTCGTTATATTTGCCATATGTGTGGTGTTAATTCTGGAATGGAATAAGATAGTGGGCAAAATTACTATAAGTAATGATGACAACATAATGGGGCAATTATGAATGGGTCATGAGAAAAAATAAGGTTCTGCTTATTCTATGTTGAAAGTTGAGTACTGGGATCGTATAATTTGATGGGATTTGAATGTTTTACATTATTATATTATAAATTTATGTTTTACTATTGAGATAAGTAATTAAATATTAGGAGTGTTGTATTAGTTGAATACCATTAAAATTATGCTAATTGGAGGAATTAAAATTTACCCCTAGGTTTGAACTTTAGGAAATTGATTATAGAATTAGGTGAGTTTTTGGGTCTAGGCTAGACATAGAATAATACGAGTGTTTATAGACTCGTT